GCTTTGCCGCTGAGCTAAATCCCCAGCCCCTAAACTCATAGCTTTAACATGTATTCTCTTTTTTTTTGGTACCAGGAATCAAACTCATGACCTTGTGCTTGCCAAGGAGGCGCTGTATCATGTATTCTCAAAGCTGGTGCAGTGTCGCATGCCTGTAATCCCAGCACTTGGGAGGCTGAGGCAGGAGGACTGCCGTGAGTTCGAGGGCAGCCTGGGCTACATAATGAATTTAAGGCCAGCCTGAACTACACAGCAAGACCCTGTCTCTCAAAAAAAAAAAAAAAAAAGAAAGAAAAAGTAATCTTAATACACAACAAATTTTATAATAAAAATTAGACACTTGTATTTTGTGTATGTTCTTTTACATTCTTTTTTGTCACGTGTGTGTATTTTTGTGGTCTTTATATTGAGCTAATCATCAGCCCTTTTTATTTTGAGACATGATCTTGCTAGGTCACTAAGTTGCCCAGGCTTGACTTGGATTTGCAGTCCTGCCTCGGAGTGCTGGGGTTAAGTGCTATCGCTCACTTCTGGTCATTTAATTTACTGTGTTTACAAAAGGCTGTTCCAGGCCCTCACCACAGCTGCACGAGCAGCAGTGTCCAGAAGGCCTGCTTGCCCCTTGCTTTGGTTGAGGGTCTGGGGGCCCTTTATGAGGAAAGCCCTTGTGCACCCCGATGAGCCCTCTGTGAGGCCCCGGCCCAATGCATACCCATGTTGCCGTTCTCCATGCCGCGGATGTCCGGGCGCAGGCGGCAATCTGTGGGTGGCAGGGTCTTCTCCATGCCCAGCTCTAGCTCGTTGAGGCTCACAGTGAAGCTGGTGAAATTGTACATCTGCAAATCACAGGAGTGCCCCTGTAAATGGCCCTAAGCCACGGGCATCCTAAACCCACTGCTCGCGGCATGCGTCACTAGAGTGTACCTGCCAGGGACACCGCGCCCCGCACGATCCATGAGCATGTGCCCACCTGCTCCGCAGGCTACCAGGGTCTTGGCCCTGGCACTCTTCAGTCTTTTTTCTTTTTGAGACAGGGTCTCATTATGTAGTCCAGGCTGGCCTTGAACTCACTATGTAGCCCAGGCTGGACTCGAACTTGCAGCAGTCCTCCTGCCTCAGCCTCTCAAGTGCTGGTGTGCATCACCACACCCAGCTACTCTTCAGTCGCAGGGCACAGTGGACACTCAGCCCCAAGGAAGCCCATCCCTCCGCCTAGACCGTCACCTGGATTGCTGCCTGGACACCTCTCTACTCAACACTTCTTTCCCCATTACTAGGGTTTGAACCCAGGACATTCACACTGAGCTACATTCCCAGCCCTTTTTATGTAATTTTTTTATTCTGCAACAAGTTCTCACTAAATCATGAAGTTGCCCGGGCTAGGCTCAAACTTGCCATGCTCTTGCCTCAGCCTCCCAGGAAGTTGGGGTTATAGGTGTGTGCACCACACCTGGCTTCAATCTCTCTCGATGTCTGAAAGCAATCTCAGGGTCAGCACACCAGGCTAGGACTGCAGCCTGTTGTACATCTGTACCTTCTGGGCCCTGACCTCCGCTCCCACCTGGCCTCCGCTTCTCTCCTGCCTAACACTGTGTCCCAGCTGGCAGCTCAAGGGCCACAGAAATGCAGATCCTACCCACTCCACCCCTGCTCGGGTGACTTCCAGGGTACCCGTGTTGCTCAAAGCATCAGGCAAGGCTGCCCGAGTCCCAAGCATCCTGACCTCGGCAGCACCCCAGGCCTGGCTGTCCCCTCCACGGCCTCAGACAGCCACGCCTCCCCCGCCCCCTGAAAGCCCCACCCTGTCCATCAATGCAATGTCCCTGTCCCCAGCACCTTCTAAGATAATGCCGTGCTCCGCCTGGAGTGTGTTGCCTGTGTCCGCCTGCTGGGCCGGGGCCAGTGGGGCGAGCGCCTTGGCTGCTGCTCCCGTCTGCTGCCAGCGCCCTGGGCCCACCCTGTACCCAGCAGGCAGGAGGGCCGCAACCAGCACCACAGCACCCAAGGGTGGGGGTGAGGTTATTCTTAAAAATTAATTTCCCTGAAAACACACAAGCCTTTTTTCTATAAAAAATAATTTTAAATAAAAACAAAAAATGGAATCAATGCCATCCTCCTCCTAAAAGTGACAGTGGCCACAGTGTGGTGAGCTGCTCGCGGGCGGGAACGCTCTGCTCCCTGCCCTTCCCTCACACACACTGCTCTGTGCGGACCAGGGCAGCACAGTGCAAAGCTATTAAGTTGTACATCTGCACAACAGAGAAAGAGCATAATTCGTAATAGGTATTACGATCATATAGTGCTTGTCATACTTTGTTTTCATACACTTGTACTATACATTGTATGTACAATAACTTTAGTGTAATATGGATGTAATAAAAATTGCAAAAGTGCAATTTTCAAAAGTAAATGCTAGCTGGGCGTGATGGCAGACGCCTGTAATCTCAGCACTCGGGAGGCAGAGGCAGGAAGATCGTTGGGAGTTCTAGGCCAGCTTGGGCTACAAAGTGAGCTCAAGGCCAGCCTGAGCTGCAGAGCAAGACCCTGTCTCAAAAAGACAAAAACAGAAAAAGTAAATGCCACCGTGCACTTAGTGTCCACACTGTTCACGCAGCAGCGTGCCCACCTGCAGTGCCCGCCGGCACTCAAAAGACTGTCTAAGCCCAGGGTTTTGAATCTACCCTGCTCACACAGCGGCGTGCCCACCTGCGGTGCCCGCCGGCACTCAGAGACTGTCTAAGCCCAGGGTTTTGAGGCCTGGTATCAAAGATAAGACAGATTAGGAAGACAGACACAGACGTCAGGAAACCAGCATTTTCCAAGGAGTCTGGAGTCCTCTCTTGAGGAGAGGCAGTCGGGCAGCCCCTGAGGACACGGCCTGGGGCCTGTGTGCCAGGTGGAGGGACGGGCATGGGTGTGGGGGCTCCAGCACTGCCGCTGTGCGCAGATGCGGCTGGCACCAGTTCCAAGACTCACGTGAGCACCGCAGGGGAGAGGGGCCAGGGCTGCAACGTGGGCACAGGCCGGGCACAGCTCTAGAGAGCAGAAGCCTTCGGGGCCCAACTGCAGAAGCACAGTGCAGAGACGTGGCAGGACAGCACTGGCTCAGAGACCGCCGACCGAGGTGGGCCAGGGACACAGGGAGGGCATGGAAGACCTGCGGCGCCTGGCAACAGACTGGCCTGGCCGCACAAAGGGGCGCTAAGGTGTGAGTACAGACCTGGGCGGAGTTGGGGGGCCGGCTGTTGATCCTCCAGAGTAGCTTGCTCCCGGGAATGACCTGCACGGTCTCCTGAGCCACAGGCACGTCGTCTGCCACATCCGCAGTCAGGTCACTGTCAGCTCTTTCTGAGCCATCATCCTGAAACACAGGACTCTTTGGTGCTACTGCCTCTGCAGCGCTGCCAGCTGGAACTTTGACACCTGTTCCCAAGTCTCTCTTCAAAGAGAGACCCTTTTTTTGAACCAAGAAGAAAACCAAATTTCTCCCCAGGTGGTCATGCTGACCGTCCTCCAGCGTGTGGAAAGGATCAGGCTCATGCCTCTTAGTGCCTCAGCTCTCTGCGGGGCATGCTGCACTGGGCTTCTCCTACCCCAGAGAGAAGGCAAGATTGCTGGGCATGGCTGCAGGCACCCTGGGCTCTCCTCCGAGTGCCAGGCCAACCGCACGGAGGACACCTTCCATCAGCTGCACGGCTCAGCATGCAAGCACGGCAGATGGAGGGGCTTCCCAAACGCGGCTGCCTGGCCGCAACCAAGCAGTTCTGGGGTGGGCTCGTGGTGGCTTGCTTTCTAGACGAAGACCTCCTGTCCACACCATCTTGCCCAGAACACAACAGCTTCCCCTCTCCAGAGTCAGGGCCTGACGAAGCTGCACGTGGTGCCACTAGGGAGGAAGAACCCTCAGGATGTGGACCAAGCTTGGGGTCCCTCCACCTGACTTCAGCAGACCACTGCGCTGCCACAAGGGGAGCAACCCCACGAAGCGCTCCGGGTTCTAGGTCGCCCAAAGGGACCACAGAGCTGGCGGAAGCGTTACAGACCACCACCAAGTGGAGCTAACATTTCAAGTATGTGTAGCTTTTAAATGGAATGATCCTTTTGTTTTAAACAAGAGAAGTTTTAGAAAAGATGTCTTAGCAGCACACATGAGCTATCGTAACGTAAAAAATACAAGACTCCTGGAGGAGGCTGAACTTCAATAAATACTCAACACCTTGGTTTGGTACACTCCAACTGATTATCTAGAAAACATGGCACATCTTTTGAACTGTCACTTTTAGTTTTAAGCTCAAGAATAAATAGTCTTAAAATCATCAATATTCCAAAGTGCAGGGGGAAAATCCTTGCCAATTTTCCTGACATATATCACCTAGCATTCAGAACTGAAAAAATAGAAATGAAATTCACCTGATTTTTTAAATAGATCTAAGCCGTCTCACATACAGCAAGATTTATTAAGAAAGACCCAGAACCTGGTTTCCAGAAAAGGAAGAGCTTATGTTAGGTTCCCTGGGACATTTGCAGCCCTGGGAAAAAAGCACAGCTTATGAGAGCAACCCCGACACAATCGGAACACAGAAAGCCCCACCGCCGCCGCCAGAGCCCGGAGAGACAAGAATCACATCCTAAGAGACACTCCACTCTCAGCTCTCCCTGCACTGCCCCAGGAGAGTGCAGAAGGCAGGCCAAGCTCGCAGCTGGCAGGAGGCGGCGGCCCTCACCCACCCAGGCTCCCTGTGCCCAGGGCGTGCCCAGCAGGCACTTGCTCACCAGCTTGGCTTTCCTCAGGTGGTCGCCTCTCTTCTCCTGCTTCTTGAAGGACTCATATGAAGCGGGCTCTATGCCCCATAAGCATTCTGTCCACTTGCCATAGATTATGAAGAGCTTCTTTTTGCTGTAATCAAGGGGTTTACAACCCAGTTAAGAGCAATCACAAGCCACTCATGTAAACACAGGTCCTTCATACTCACCACAGAATACTTCCTCTTCTGAGACAACTCACAAAGTGGGAAAAAATGTCTGCCAGCTGATCCTCAGACAAGATTACATCGAGAACATATAAAGAACTCAAAAAAAATCAGACCTCCCAAATTTAAAGACGCAGTCCAAAAATGGGCATCTGAGATGAATATATACTTCGCAGATGAAGAAGTACAAACAGCAAATAAATAAATGAAAACACGTTCAACATCACTGGTCCCTCGAGAAATGCAAATTAAAACAACACTGAGATTCCATCTCACCCTGGAAAGAATAGCTATTATCAAGAAATCAACCAAAAACAAATGCTGGAGGGGCTGTGAGGAAAAAGGACCCCTTCACCGTTGGTGGGAGTGTAGACTGGGGCAACCACTGTGGAACCATCAGTGTGGAGATTCCTCAAGAAACTAGGACTGGAGGTCCCATTCGACCCAGCTATTCCCCTTCCGGGTATCTTCCCAGAAGAATTAAAAACACCATACCACAGCAATATATGTGCACCCATGTTTACAGCAGCACAATTTGTAATAGCTGACTCTTGGAAACAACCCAAATGCCCATCCACTGAGGAATGGGTAAAAAAAGATGTGGTCTTTTTATACAATGGAGTACTACTCAGCTATAAAGGATGAACTGGACACTTTTATAGGTAAATGGATGCAACTCAAGACCATACTCATAAGTGAAGTAAACCTGATGCACATGTGCAAACATAGTATTGTCTCCCTAGCATGAGAAGCTGGAAGAGTAAGTAAGATCCAAACTGTACAACAGATACTGTAAAGTGGGAAGAAACTTCAAAAGAAAGAGAAACTGGGATGGGGGAGTGAAGGAAAGAAGGGAAACACAGAAGGAAAACACCTGACATATTTACATCTCATATACATACATATGAGATGGCTGAGGTAGTTACACTCCTAATTCCTCTTAGTTCATTAAGAAAAAGGTTTGTGCTAATATTGTTTGGACAATTAAATGCCAGTATCTTATACTCTAAGTAACTAATTTAAAGATAACAATACGCAATGTATTAACCATTGTTACCCTCTCATTATCTTGTTTTGATATTTTTTTCTCTTAAATTAAAAAAAAAAGAATACTTCCTCTTCTGGCATAGTTTCTACATCCTGGGACATTGCTGGGTAAGTGCGAAGAGGAAAATGTGCATTTTAGGACCTCATGCCATCTGAGAGCAACTATTCCTAAACCGGGTACACCAAGCAGAGAAAAAAATGCAGGTAAAAAGCCTAACAAGGGGCAACCAAAGGGTTGCAAGGAGGACTGAAAAAGGAGACAAGGAGGATTTAAAAAGAGCACATATCTATTTTTCCAAATTTATATTTGCATGTATCAATCTTTTTTTGTTTTTGTGGTGCTGGGGAGGAAACCCAGGGCCTCACACGTGCTAGGCAAGTGCTTACCACTGACATGTGTCCCTGGGCCGTATTACTGTTCCTTCCCCTCTTCCCTCCTTCCCTCTCTCCCTCCTTCCTTCCTTGTACCAGGAATCAAACTCAGGACCTCGCGCCTGCCAGGCAGGCACCGGGCCACTGCCCCACATTATTGTTTCTTAACAAGTGCTGTATGTCCTTCAGACCTTTTTCTATCAGTTACACCAACAGCCCTTCCCATGCTGAGCTGACAGTCTGATTTCTGTTGGTCACACGGCTCTCTGCCTGACTGCGAAAGGAACAGAAGCCCCTGCAGTGCTGGGCCTAGAGGAAAGGAAGGGCACATGCTGGCCCCGTGCTCCCGGACGCACTGCTCTGACAGGCTCGTGCCCCCGGGGGGACGCATGTCTCAGTGGTGACGTGCACAGCCAGCACAGTGGGACTCAGGCAACAAGACCTGGGCTTGGTGGCGGAGATGGCAGGGTGGCCAATGCGCCAGCTCTGAGGAAAGGGCATGATCAGATTTAGAATGGAATTCCCAAAACCCAAAGAAAAGTTTGGGCGTTCTCAGCTGCATAGCATCAGCCTCCACCCCTGCAGCCTGGGGTGACTATGGGGGAGAAGACGCCCACCATGCTGCTACTTCACTGCTGGAGCTGCCATCCTTAAAGGCTACGCATGGGTCCAGAGACATTTCCTGGGAGAAGTGGCCCATCTGATGGCATTTTACAGACAATCTGAAGGGGTAAGTTTGTGGTGCTCAAGAGAAAATGGGTAAGGCAATTTAAAGTGTTTTACATTGGAAAATAGATCTTAAGAGCTGGAAGGAATCGCTTGACATTATAAGGCCCAAATTCCTTACTGAGAAAAAAGTGATTTGAGACCCAAAAGATAAAGTAATTAAACCAGAGCAAGGGAAAAAAATCTGAACAATCTGACCACTTCTCTGCCCACATAAACTTGTAAAAATCTCTGGGTTACACACTGGAATGCACCAGCCAGCTGTCAGACGTAGCAGATGTCAGCAGAATGAAGGAAATACGCAGTTGAAGCATTTAAATCTCAGCTCTGTCTGTAAAACTGCAGCATTATCTCAGCAAAGGGGTTCGGTGTCTCAGGGCAACTCTATCGGTCGGCTGCAAGCCCGCTCATCCAAATCTATACTCAAGACCACACTCCACTCCCTCTTCCTGAGCGAAAGGAGCCGTAAGTGTTCCTGCCGGGAACAGACCTCACTGGGTAACTGTGTCTGGGACACGCGTGTGCGCGGACGCACGTGCTGCCCCAGGGGCACACGTGCGCACACTGCCGGCGCACACCTACTTTTTGTCTTGAATATGCCCTTCTACTCTGTGAAGCTCCTTCCCGAACAGTCCGCACGGCTTGAAGTTAAGGACACACTTATCACCGGTTCTGTGGAGAAAACAAACGCAGGCTTCATTTGTGAGGTGAGATGCTGGGAGAAGGCCGAACTCCGGAGGGAAGGAGGGTCCTGGGCTAGGAGGGCGGGGTGCAGTGCCAGCCAGCACCACAGGGCCTCGCGGGGGTGGCAGAAATGCTCTGAAACTGGCCTGGGATAAGGGCTGCACGCTTTATAAATATACTAAAATATCACTTCGGTGCCCACTTGAAGTGGATGAATCAGGAGTTATAAATGATCTCTTCCTTGCAATGTTAAAAATGAAGCCAACGCGTCGTAAGCTTCCCGGCGTCACCATCTAGATGTGGCGCGATGCTGGGGAATGGTCACTGTGCTTTCATCAGTGGTGACACCGCTGTCCAGTGTCGCTCAGAACTTCAAGTAAGTTAACTATTTTGACTGAAAGCAACCATCAACATGGGCCACCCGAGACGGCCCGAACACTGGCCACAACCAAATCCCACGAGCCACCGCCACCAGGGGGCCCCGCCGCACGGAGCTCCTCGGGCTGAGGGACAGGGCGGAAGGAAGGGCAGAGGCCAGTGGAGGAGGAGGCTCGCCCTCACCACCAGCTCGTCCTGCCACGCACACCGGCAGGTTACCTGTGGTTTAGAATCTCCACCACTCCATACTGCTCTATCCACAGCTTCCCAATAATGACGTTGTGCACGCAGCAGGTGGGGTTGGTCCAGGTGTAGGCTTCACCGTGTCTGTGAACAGGCCAGAAACAAGCAAGTGAGGGGCAGCCAGGCGCACAGCCTGCGTGACCTGGAGCACCTCGACCAGACAGAACCAGACCACAACTCTCGGGAGCCTGCTGAGGGGCAGAATGCCCCTTTGAAGTCCCTCCAAGCAGGCTACTTAGCATGCGTTTGAAATTTATTTCTTTTTCCTTTGTAGCATCAACAAAGCTTTCTACTTAAATGTCAAGACAAGTTAATAAGCAATAAGCAATAAAAGAAGACTGAGACAAAGGGAAACGACTTTCCTGTGAAGTTGTCAGAAGAAAAGCCACTTCTGTACGCATAATGCAGTAATACCCAGGCCTGAGGAAGATCCCTTTTGGTACCAGGGATCAAACTCAGGACCCTGCGCTTGCCAGGCAGGTGCTTGTGCTGCTGAGCTGCATCCCTTGATCCTTGCTTTGTGGGGAGTGGCACACTGAGAGAGGATTACTTTGTCAACAATGCTCTGCACTCCTTTTTCTTCACTCCTCATTCTCCAAATGGCCCTGCCCCTAGAGGAAACCTCACAGATGTGAGATGCAACAGATTGCCCGGCATGAATCTCGAGACTACATTCAGGAGCTAAGGACAAAAATCAGCTCAGAACAAACATGGCATGACTGACACAACAGGAGGAACCCAAACACATTCATCAAAAAGGTTTGTAGCTAGGTGCAGTAGCACAGTTTTAATACCTGCTACTTGGAAGGCTGAGACAGCAGGATTGTGAGTTCGAGCCCAACCTATACAACTTAGTGAGACTATTTCAAAATACAGTAAAAACTTTTTCATCCCCAGCTCGGTGGTAAAGTACCCCTGGGTGCAATGTTCACTAACAACAACAAGAACAGTTTACAACTTCTCAGTTCTGCACCGAGCAGCCCCGGGGAGGCCTCCAGGCCAGGAGGGAGCAGCTTGAAGCAGGCTCCCCAGCCGGTTCAGTGCGGCCTGGGGGTGCTGCTGCTCTCCAAGACCCCGTGGCTCGGGCTCGGGCTCGCAGCTCGGCCTGGTGAATAGGGAGCAACTCAAGCACACTGTGGGTAGGAGGCACACAGCTCACCAGCCCTGAGGAGAGGATACTCCCAAGCCACAGCGCCCGACCAGAAATCCTACAGAAGCATGCTGGTGGGAAAGCTACCTGCCCCACGCAGAAGGCCAGGACTCCCAGAAGGAGGCCAGTGTGGAAGGCAGACCCCGGGCCTCAAGCACCACTCACTTGAGAAGCTCCAAGGTGATGGTCCCTCGGGGCTCTGCCTCCACGCTCTTGCCCCAGAACTTCAGCTTCGGGTAGATGGAGCCATGGAACACAAAGTCTTGGCTGAGACCCTCTGAATAAAACGCACTAATGGGAGGGTGGTGACTGACTTGCTCCGATATAAATCTGAATCCTAAATCTTCCCTAGGTCCAAAAATAAGAGAAAGGAGGGGAGGGAACAGAAAAGAAAAACAGCCACATTAGTGACAACAACATACAAGGGAGGCTGCTCCCCCACAGAACAGGCAGGCGGGCTCACTCCAGCCCTCCCCCAAGGCTGCAGTGCACCAGGCACCAACAGCCCCAAGGCTGTGCCCGTGCCTCCTGGCCTAAGGCTGACCCAGCACCGTGTCACTCTGGAGCACACCCACCCCACTCAGAACCGGATCAGGCCAGCAAGGCCACCCAGCCCTGCCGCTCACAGCCCCGGACACCTGAGCATGTGGGCATCGGCCAGAGGTGCCTCAGAAGTAGGCAAGCCTGGTCCCAAACGCTCACTTCAACCCTCCCGGGACCATGACACCAACGAACTCGGAGTTCTGCTTCTAGGCCTCGGAAAAACGCTCCTGTTCAGCCTTCATACAGTTCCTGAAACTTCTGGGAGGGAATGTCTTAGGCCTCAAAATATTCCTAGCTGGAAAACAGGACTTTCAGCAGACTTTCTTATTCAATAAAAACGTCACTTGTTAATTGTTCCAGAACTGTGAATACACCTACAGTTGTAGTCATTAAAAATTATAAAAGCTAAACCACATAATTACTAACTTAGCTGGAATCAGAATTCCCAATCATTATAGAGGAAGGAAAGTTGAAAAATTTGGTTTTAAAAGGTTGCCTACCAAGGTATGTAATTTACAAAATGAGTACTTGTCTAAGAAAAGAAAGTGTATTTTTAGCTACACAGAGGGTGCGAAGGGAATGAAGACGCTGGCTGGGGCAGGGCGGGACCGCTGGTCTCGGCGCTGAGTGGCACTCGCAGGCAGGGGCCCAGGGAGGAGAGCATGACGAGCCAACTGCGGTGATGGGAAAGAGACTTCGCCTCTTCTTTCTGTCTGTGAGGCTGGAGCTCAACCCCGGAGTGAAGTCCCCGAGGAAGACTAACGATTTGCCGTGCGTCGCACCCGGTGCAGCGGCCCGGGTTGTCTGCATCCTCTGCGTCCTTCCGTTCATCCAGTTCCTTGCCCACCCTCCCTAGCAGCCTCCCTGCGTTACCACAGTAGGCGCCCTCCTGACCAGCCCCTTTCTCAGAGGCAGCGGCACTTGGAGAGCAGTGTTGGCCACTCGCTGCCAGCCAACATCGGAGCTGAACTGTTTTGCTCCAGATGGTTCCCACTCTGGCAGGGCACGGGGACGGCTGGCAGCTGAACCAGGATGGAAGGAGGGAAGACCGGCTGGCTCTGTTTATGCTCTGGTGGAGGAGGACAGGGCCCAAAGGTAAGAGACCAAGAAGGGCCCTGGGAGGCAGCCGAATAGTGCCACAAGGCAGCTGCACAGGCTCACTGCCTCCCTAGGGCTCAGCCGGGCCAGCCTGAGGCCAGAGAATGCACAGCACTGTGGCGGGTGGAGTCTCCAGGACAGTCTCGGAATAACTGCAGCCCCTGAGGCGACGAGGCAGGGAAGAGAATCCCAGCCAGTCCAGTCCTCCAGAGGCCTGACTGCCACCCTGTGAGCTGGGGCCAAATCAGAGGCTTCCTGGCTGTGACACCGAGGACAGGAGGGGCGGGGCACGCAGAAGTGTGTGTGTGCAATATGCACAAGTGCTTGCCACCACCTGTCCTGCCAAGCCCCCCAGGACCCTCACTTCTACGAGAACCCCAGGAGGGGTGGTGACACTGCCCAGAAGAGACTCCCAGAAGGGGTTCCAGCAGGCATCTAACACCCCACGTGGTCTGGCTGGAGCTACCAGCAACCACTGCAGAGACCCAGCAGGGCAGCCAATGGCAAGCGGGGTGTGGGATAAACAAGGGCCTCCACAGTCACTCTCCGATTTACCTCTTTCAGCAACACTCACCACAGTGCTGTGGTTAGACAGCCTAGTTCCACCTATCAGTACCTACTTCCGATTCAGAAAGCCACCAGCCCTCGCGCTTCCTCCGGCGGTGCATGAATGTCGCAGTCTAGGGGGCCACTGTACTGAACAGCCTGTTTCTGCCCTGGCCTACACTGCTAGGGTTGGGGGCTGGAGATTTAGCTCAGTGGCACAGCGCCTGCCTGGCAAGTGTGAGGTCATGAGTTTGATTCCCAGTACCGGGAAAAAAAAAAACCTACACTGCTAGGGTTTTATTCCCCCATCAGGACAATAGTGTGCGTGTGTGCGTGCGCACAGGAGAAACATCTTGCCTACAGCTCTGCAAGTACTCCACAGCTCCTAACACAGAGTCTGTCCTCAGGGCCGAGAACCAATGCTGGGGAGAGCAGTGCATTCATCTGTCATCCAAGGACCCATCAGCTCAGTATTCGTGACGGGCTCCCCTTACCTGATCAACTCATATGTCTCTCCCAAGAGCGGGTTGAACGGTTTGCCAGTCCTCTCCCACTGGGAGGCCACAGCGGAGACAGCGAAAGCAGCTACAGACTGCAGACAATCCACAGGGAGAGGTCAGAAGACTCCAGCCAGGAGAGCCAGAGTACAGAGCGCTTCACAGAGGGAGTGCAAGCGCTCGGCTCCGGCGTCATTTTTTACGATAGCGACTTCTTGCTCTCCCCTAGTAACACATTTTGAGACTACAGGACTTCCTGCCAAATGCCATTTGTCACCCACAATTTCCTCAAAGAAACAAAGAAAAGGAACAGTGAACTGTTCAACACCCCTGCAGTTGGGTCCCTTGTGAACAAAGTGGCAACATCAGTCTGTCTGTCTGTCTGTCTTGTTCACAAACATTCAAGAGTCAAGTACACTCACTTCTGCCATGGACATATGCACGCAAACACAAGCACCAAACATGCGAACACACACTCACACATGCATGCACAGAAGTAAAGATATATGTGCACTTGTGCACATGCACGCACACAACAGTGATGTGAGCTCTGTGAGGCCGGGACTCCGGCAGGGAGGGTGGTCAGACCCCTGTGGAGAACACACCGCAGGACACACGCTGTGGCCTGAGCACTCCCTGACTTCCCATGGGCAGGTTGCCAGGTCCCTAGGACTGCGGGCTCAACCTTCAGAAGGGGTCATGTGCATTCAGCGGGTGCAGGGCCGGCCCCAGCAGAGCTCACCTGCATCCTCTCCAGGGGCTGGGTCTGGCGGGAGGCTCTGTGGATGAGGTACACATGCTCCATGTACTCTGTGATCCGCTGCAGGAAACTCAGAGGCTCATTGAAGGCAATTGGCATTGTGATCTTGGACAGCTCCTGCAAGGACCCGGAAGACTTGCTGTGGTGCCCATAGGTCTTGGCTGCACAACGGCCCTGAGCCTTTCCTCTTCCCAGGCCCGCCGACCTCCTCCTGACCCACAGCACACACAGCGACTGCAGAGGCGCTCCTAGACTGCTGCCTCCCATCGTCTTCTCCCACTCTGCTTCCCGATGAGTGATGCCAGTGCCACATCGCTCCCACCAGGCTGGGTAACACACGTCTGTATCCTGGCACTTGAGAGGCTGTGACAGGACTGCAAATTCAAGGCCAGCCTGGGCTACATACCAAGCCCAAGGCTAGTCTTAACTACATAGCAAGACCCTGTCTCAAAAAAACAAGAAAAAGACAAGTGTGCACACCTATAATGTTATGTGCACACCTATAATCCCAGCACTCAGGAGGCTGAGGCAGTAGAACTGCTGTGAGTTTGAGGCCAGCCTTGTGCTATAGAATGAGTTCAAGGTCAGCCTGAACTACATAGTGAGATTCTGTCTCAAAAAACAAGGGCCGGGGATATAGCTCAGCAGCACAAGTGCTTGCCTGGCAAGTGCAAGGTCCTGAGATCAATTCCTGGTACCAAAAACAAAAACCAACATAAAAAAGAAAACAAAACAAAAATTATTCCTATTGTGCCAACAGTCCCAGTTATACAGGAGACTGAGACAGGAGGACTGCTCCATCCAGGAGTTAAATACCAGCCTAGGCAATATGAGATCATACCTTAAATAAAAGAAAATAAATCTCCCCAGCTTCCATGGCCTCCAGGATGACATAGAAATGCCTAAGCTGGCAGGCAAGGCCCTCTGTCATGTGCCTACGTGACTTTGCCCAAAGATCTTTCAGAGTCGGGAAAGGTAGCCCAGACACCTTCTCCCAGTGCTAGCGAAGTGAGGCTGTGGCTCCAGCTTCCACGGAGCTCTCACTGTGGGGAGAGGCCACGAACACACAGGCACCAGGGCCCGCCTGACGCCGACAGAGACAGACTGCCAGGAGGACACACCGAGCCCAGCAGGACGGGCACTGGGAGGGCCGGGCGCTCAGGCGGCAGAAGCAGAGCAGGGCTTGGAGAGTTCCCGCCAAGCAGGACCTGGCACGGAGCTGGCTAAGCGGCTCTTCGTCTGTCCGGGGCCAGGATGACCCCTCTGCGGTTGTTGTGAGGCTCGGAGCACCCCAGGGTTGGCAGGGGGGCCCCACAACTGGCCCCGCTGGCTCTGCCCACAGGCCTGGTCCAGGGCGATCCCACAGACCAAGCCTGAACTGAGGCGAGGGCGGGGCAGGCCCGGAGTCCGGACAGTGAGGCTGCCTGCTCAGGAAACCCCGAGAAAAGTGGGGGTGCAGGCTCAGAAGGGCTGGCACTGGAGTGACATGAAGGAGGGCAGAAGGGACAAGCTCATCACTACACACCCATCTCAGGGACGAGTGGAAGAGACAGCGCTGAAGGAGACCCGAGAGAGCAGGCAGAAGAGCAAGGGTGCAAAGTGCAGAAAACCCCTGTGATCCGACTCCCAGACAAGGCTTAGGGTCCCCTCCGCGAGCTACTTGCCCGTGAAACCAGAGGAGTCCCGGCCACAGCCCCAGGGTGAGGGCCAGAGGGGCCGGCGTGAGAGGCCGGCTTTGGTCAGATCAGGAGACAGTGCCGCGGGCAGTGCAGCCTGCACACTATTGCCCAGAGACAGGCCGGGTGCACAGGAGGACGCAGGCCCTGCAGGATCTGGCCACAAACACGGACACTCCGCATGCATCTATCCTATGGCCCAGCAATCCCACTTCTAGGAGTCTATCCCAGAACCTCAGTGGACACGTGTGGAGGCCAGAAGTGCCCCCAACACACAGCAGGGCCCCACTCTGCAGAGTCCAGGGCAAGCGTGTAGGGGCACAAAGCAGTTACAAACTGGGGTATTTAGTGCAGGGCCTTCCAGAGGGGATCAGATAAGGTAATCCAGGAGAGCCTGGGTGGCTGAATCTGGGAACAAGACAGGAACAAGGAGAGTCACTGGGTGTGGTGGCCCACACCTGTAACCTGGGATTCGGGAAGCTGAGGCAGGAGGATTGCTGTAAACTTCAGCCTGGACTATATAATGAGACCTTGCTTCAAATAAACAAAAATAAAACCAAAAGAAGGAGATATATAGACACCAATATACATGTGAGTGTGCATGCACACTCCCCGTGTCTCTCCACGTGAGGCTCTGTGCCACCTAGGGACTCTGCCGGCGAAAGATGTGGCCCCGGGGCCTTGCACCTCCAGAGCTGAGTCCAGATAAACCTCTTTCTCTACACACACCCAGTCTGTGGTATTATGTTATATGCATTAGTCTGTTTTATGTTAACATAAACAGGCTAATATGTTTGTTAATGCAAAAGACTATGTTAGTCCGTTAACATAAAACAGACTAACAGATACACATCATTTAATTTTTGACCCATATTTTAAAACAAAAGCAAAATTATAAAATTAAATTTGTAAAAATGCATAAAATTTATAAAAATTGAATGTATAGAAGATGGATCCCCTCTGTGTAATCACCCGGGTAGAACAGGAACTTTGTAGCAACTCTGCAGGGGGACATGTGATCAAGCAGTCGAGGTCAGCACCCCGAGAAGAGGTCAAACAGGAACCACACAGCCCCCGGACGAGGCCCTGAGTACGGCCCCGAAATGCAGGAGCGCACTCTAATCCTGAGAAAACAGCAGACAAACCTACACTAAGGAAGATCCTACTAAATAATGGGCCAGTACCCTTCAAGGAATCAAGGGCACAAAAGACAAGGGAAGGCTGAGGACCACCCCGTGAAGGGCAGGGGGACGAGACACCCTCCCAGGCGGGCTGGGTGTGGTCATCAGCAGGGAACAGGAAAATGGCGCAGTGAGATTTTGTAGTCAGCAGTCAGGCTGGGGGTGTGGCTCTTCGTGGCAGGGTGCTTGCCTAGCCCGTGTGCAACCCGGGGTTCAATCCCCAGAACCAAAAGAGAAAAAGAGGAGCCTAGGCAGAGCCTTTAGCGACTGCAGCTAACCGGAAAGCCAGGGTGGGGAGGTGGGAGGACGGCACAGGGATGCCTGGTTACCACTCTAACTTTCTTTTTTTGTTTGGTTTTTTGTTTTTCTTCCGGTACCAGGAATCAAACTCACAACCTTGCGCTTGCCAGGCAGGCACTGTGCCGCTGAGCTAAATCCCCAGCCCCCACTCTAACTTTCTATGTCTAAAATTACTGCAAAATAAAAGTTGGTGGAAAAGGAGTTTCCTCTGGAGGAAAAAAAGGGACAAATGGACAAGAGCAAAAAAACAAATGGCAAAAACAAGGGGAGTTAGGACACAAGGGAACGAGCCCTGGAAAATGGTGAGGTGTATTTCTAGACCATTCAACTTGAGTTTCTTGGCCCATCAATGAGGACGCCACAGACTGCAGGCAAAGACAGACTCTGACAGTCAGGAGAGATCACACAGTCCGCAGCTTTTGGACACTCTAACTGCCCAAGCCGTCTTCCTGTCACCGTCGTGAGCCCGGCATGTAGCTGGGGAGACCTGTCCCACACAGAGGGTCTGCAGCCAGGGTTTGGGAGCCCCTTGCGAAGCGCCACAGAAGGGCCCTGGGTCACATCTCCTGGCCCGCTTAACCTGTGGGGTTACTACTCGCTGCCTGCAAATGATTTAGCACCCACTCCTGTCTCCTTATTTATCTCTTGCCTATTTTATCATCTTAATTTCTTGCTGTTTATAAATACACACAATGCATTTCTTAAGCTACCAGCTGTGCAAAAAACTTGCAAGTTTAAAATATTTACGTTTCAGGCGTCAAAAGAACCATCTGAACTCACCAGCCCGATGCACTTTTTTAGAATGCTCCACACGCTGAAGTCGCTTCTGGTGAACATGGGGGCGGGCAGTGCCGTCCTGGGGAAACAGAGCAACAGGCCCCCGTTACCAAGGGAGGCGCGGCCCTGACGGCTGCTGGGCCCTCTCAGCTTGGAGCCCTAACATTAGCGCGTGTGAATCCTGACACGCCAGGGAGGAGGGCGGGGAGGGAAGTGCAGGCCGCTGCTGGAGCCTCGGGGAAGATTCCTGCCTTGCACCCACCCGGGGCGGCCACAGCACAACGGACGAGGTGGGCCACCAAGGTGCAACGGATTAAGGAAAGCTCTTCACAAAGCGGCTGCTGAGCCCGTTTGAACACATGCTTTCTCCCAAGCTGTGTTCCTCCTCAAACCACCCCCGACCAGTGACGAGAGGCCCCCGCTCTCCTGCTCACTGTGGACCCCAGGACCCTGGCTCCCTCTGCACTGAGCCCTGTCTCCACCTGGGGAGGGAGGGGACACCTGAGTGCAGACCAACTCTGGTGGGGTGCCACAGAGCTGAGGTGCAGGGAGGCCCCACGGGGTGGCTACCTGGTCCCCACCGCTGTTCTCGGCTCCCCAGAGGTCACCCCAGCATTTCTGCGTAACTCCTACTTCATGGAAGCTGCTGTGAAGTGAGGTTCTGCATCTGAAACCAGGGACCTTGACTCTGACACGCTGAGCCTCACAAGAATGAGCCTGAACCCCACCTGACGCAGCCCTCAGGGACGGCACAGGAGGGCAGCTGTGTCAAGGCCCTGCTCAGATCAAGGTGTAAGAGGGAGGGTGTGAGGGGCTGGTGTGCAATGAAAGGGAAAATACGGTGAGTGCCACAAAGCCCTGTGTGCCGCAGCACAGACGCACGGATCCACCAACCACATCCTCGTAAGCACGCGTCCCATGAGTGGTCCAGAGCAGCACACCACACACACCGCAAGGGTGCTACAGGGACGGGAGCACAGCTCAGCAGAGGCTCTGAGAGTTTACAAGGGGCGTGCCTTCTTGCGTGTGGTGCTGGGGACTGAATCCGACCTGCCAGCTGAGCTACGTCCCCAGCTGTTTTTTATTGCTTGAAACAAGACTACCTTGGTAGAGCTTTCCTTAATCCGTTGCACCCTTGGTGGCGCACCTCGTCCAGGCTGCACTTGAACTTGTAATGTGTCTCAGCCTCCCACAGTCCCGGGAACATGGATGTGCACCCCTAACCCTAGCTAGGATATGACCACTGTATGGAAATGAGAAAGAAAAACAGGAACAAAAGCATGCAGAAAGTAGGTGGGGCTCCAAGCCAAGGGAGCAGGGCGGGCAAGAACCAGGCCAGGCAAGATGCTCCTCAGGCCCCAAAAGAGGTCTCAGCAGCTGGGGCCAGAGGAGTGAATAGGGCCGAGCCCCAAGGACAAGAGGTAGGAGAGGATGGTGGCCCTTGCCCTAAAAAGAGGGCAACGTTATAGTTCAACGTCCGAGCCAGAACACTTCTGCAAGTAAAGGGGGTGCTGGTCAGAGCTACTTAGGACTGGGGGTGTTGGGGCAGTACATGGATGACTGCCTAGGCTTTAGGCAGAGAGATGGGGATGGCGCCATCAGGTCTGATGGACAAATGCCCCTACATGGCATGAAAAAGTCAGGAGGGGAGGGTGGCATGCAGCAGGGATGGGAAAACCCAAGGATCCAGGGTGCATTTAAAGAGGCCAAAGCATCAGAGCAAGGCAACAGTGAGAGGGAGGCAGGGGCACCGGGCTGACTGCAGGCAGCTGGTCACAGGGCACCGTGAGCCATGAAGCGGAGACGGAGGGGTCTGGAGAGTGTGCGCTGCCCCGGACAAGGCTCCACGGCACCAGAGAGGCTCCTGCAACTGCTAAGCACCGAAATGAAGGGCAATGGGAGAGTGAGGCACCCGGGGCGCTGGGCAACCCGTCACGCAGCCAAGTGGGCCCATGGCCAGAGGGGAGGTCAGGGGGGAGGCTGGAGAGCCCCAGCACCAAGCAGACCTTCCAATGTGCCCAGGATGCCACCCTCCCACCCACTGCCTCAATGGACAGCTAGGCCTGCCTGCGCTCCTGTTTCTCTTGATAATGACCGGAGACTGCTCACCATCCTCAAAAATTTACTTATGTGAACATGAACATTTTAGTGGGAAGATGGAATGGAGTCTTGCTACAGCAAACTAACCAAACCCTTCCTGTCCCCTGGGCCACCAGCCAATGCATCTCAGTAGGGTACCAAAGAAACAGGAGGATTAACCCACTGTCTGGAAGAACAAGTGGATCTGCCTCACAGCAAGCCCTGTTCTGCATGCCAGCCCTGACCAGGTCCTGCGCCAGGAAGGAGCAAAGCACTGGCATGTCATGGATAGGAACATCCGGGTAGATGGTGGAGTAGGGAACAGCAGAGAAACAGTCTGAGATCTGGTGTCCAGATGCTGGAATATAGCAACGTGAGGAAGAGAAGAAGGAGGGAAGTCAGCAAAGATCTGAAGTGAGAACGGAAGCCCTCAGAGAGTGAGGACCGAGACTCAGCAAAGGAGGAGGTGGCAAGCCGTGCTTCTCCCTAAGCCCTGGGTCATGGGGTCGGGAGGCCTTGACTTGCAGGCGCACAGAGACTACTGTGACCCCAGAGGGCTCCACAGAGAAATGCACCCGTGGAACAGACCGGTGGATGGAGCAGAATGTAGGGGCTGGGAAGTTATCTGGGTTCAAATGTTCCCCAGGAGAGGGCGATCGGCCAGTAGCCATACTGGAGAGGGGCTGACTGAGCTTGGAGCTCAGAGCAGCTGCAGCCAGCCCCATCTAGCAGCTCCCAGTGTCAGGGTGAGGTGGAACCAAGTTCAAGTCACCAGGAGGTCAAGGAGCTGAGTTCAAGCCAGCAAGAGGCACACAGAGTGTTGCAGGCTGAACAAACTGGGTTCCAGCCTCAGTCAGAAACCAGCGTGAACTTCAGTGGATCTAAAGGTGCGGGCTAGCTGGGGATGATCCACTACCAGGCTGCAAATCTACAGCTGGTTTGCTGGGATTAATCTAATCAGACGTGAACTCTGTCTACCCACTGTCTTCCGGTGACAGCAGAGACACACCTTGAAGTAGACATTTAAAAATTTTCTTTTTTCTCTTTTCTTGCTTTTGTTTTCTTTTTTCTTTTCTTGTTTTTCTTTTCTCTCTCTCTTTTTTTTTTTTGTCTTTTTGAGGCAGGGTCTCGCTATGTAATTGAGGCTGGGCTTGAGCTGACTTGTAGCTCAGGCTGGTCTCAAACTCACGACAATCCTCCTGCCTCAGCCTCCCAAGTGCTGGGATTACAGGCGTGTGCACCACGCCTGGCAGCTTGTTTCATTTTTCTTGATTATTTGTTCTTGTTTCTATATGAGTGTGAACACTATTTCTAGTCTTTTTGTTGTTCTGTTCTGTTCTGTTCTGGTTTTTATTTCTTCCTTCTTCTCCAGCCTTGCTTCTAATCTCTTTCTCTTCTTCTATTTCTCTATTTTTTCCCCCAATTCATTTTAATTCTTTTCTCCTGCGGGTAAAATTGCCACACAGAGGGCATCTTTACCGTATACAATTTTCTGATTTGTTTTAGATTTTTGTTATGTGTCCACAAACTCAGTTCATATGGTTAAAGGCGCTAATTAATACCACAGTTTGTCATTTTCTAGGCTAGTTTGATGCTACTGTTCTGGTGATTGTACTACTATAGCCAAGGTGACATAACTGTTCTAATCAGTTGTTCTTCCTGGTATGCCAAGGCTGAGACTGCTTAAGGGTCATAAAAGATACCACAGACCCATGCCAAAGAACCAGGGGCTGGGCCAAATAGGCAGCAACTTCTCATCCCCAATAAATTGAAGAGGTGGGATCTTGCAACAGACTCAAAACTGAAAAGCAGCTACGTCTGGAAGATACCTCTGAGAAGCAGTCATTTCCTAAGGGTTCTAAATACTCGCAGTAAAGCTACTTGCCATAAGCAATTTTCAAGCACCACCCAGGAATTAAACTAAAAAAAAAAAAGAAAATGAAAAGACACTTAAGCAAGAGTGCAAGATTCAACCCCAGATTTCCGGCTCACCACAGGCATTCCAAGGATGGGGCAAATCACTGGTCAAAGCCCCACTCGTTACTGATTTCCAGGACTAAATAGACAGGCTGTCTGAGACTGCCTGAGCCAAGGGGTGGGGAGGAGTGCTGTTCCAGGTGGACACTCACGAGACCTGAGGGGACCATGCAGTGTGTTACAGGGGTGATCACAGATGCACTGCAGAAAATTCTAAAACTGTGCTGAGACATCATACCTGTGTTTCTGAATCCCATTCTCTTGAGCGGGTCTCTCCCCACTTTTCCCACTCCTTGTACTTTTGCTGGTGTCCAAGTCAATCATTCCAGTAATCTTCTGATTCACCTCTGAAAATTCCCCAGAAGAGTTATCAGAATCAAAGCCTGCACAAAACAAGCAAAATGGTCATTTTCACTAGAATTGGCGAAAGTAAAAATCAACCTCCAAGGTTTTGACTGTGCAAGCAGACTACCTAAAGCTCCACGTAGTTTTTAAGTGACACGTCTGGAATAGAGATCCTGACCCACCTCAGCGCTGGGGACACACAGGGAAGTACTGCCGTGCAACAGCAACACCTCCACACCCACTGCGGCTGCTGGAATGGTGGTGTTCATCCAAACATCCACCAGGCTGACGCTCTCTCGAGAAAATCAAGATGGACTTATTCAGGAAGTATCAGTTACACGAGTCTTCAGACAACAGGCAGCTTCCTGGGAGACTCCTGGCTGGGAAGGAACACAGAGGCCCACCTCCCTGGGACGGGTATGGCCTCCAGGTGAGAGCCAGGTGCCCCCTAAATGTGAATGCCTGCTGATTCCTCCACTGAGAGAATTCAACTAGGGAGGACTGCAGGTTCAACAGCAAACATGTCTCCCAGGAGCACGTCCACAAAAAACACAATCAGCGGAGGAATTCAGGCACAAAATAATAAAAAATGAACACAATTTTCCATGTGAAGACAGAGAGGAGCTCAGCGTCTCCTTCTCCTGGGTTTTAGATAAGAATAAGGCAATAATCAGCCTGTGCCAACAGGGACATTCAGGAGCACAGCTAGTGACACTGGGAACTCAGCACTCCAGCAGGGCAGAGGAACAGAGCTCCAGCACAAGCCTGGGCCCCAGCTGGGGAGCAGCTATTGACACCAGGAAAGAGCCTTCGGGGGCAGCAGTTACAGAAGCTCTCCAGATCTTGGCCAAGAGCTGGGTGTGCTGGGGCACACTTGTAATCCCAGCACTCAGGAGGCTGAGGCAGAAGGACTGCAGTGAGTTCGAGGCCAGCCTGGGCTACAAAGTGAGTTCAAGGTCAGCCTGAACTGCATAGCAAAACCCTGTCTCAAGAACAAAATAAAACAACAAAAAAACAAGATCACAAGATCATTGCCAGAAAACTTGGCCCGCAGTAGTATTTCAGAGTTGGTAGCTGGCATTCCTACACCTTAGGACAAGGAAATGGACAGAAGGCTCTGAAGTCCCTTCACTGGCAATAGCCGTTCGGACCATTTCACAGAAACAACCACCGAAATGATATTCCAAAATCTGACCCTAAGGGACAGAAGAGTGGGGGACACATGGGCTTGAAGTAAGGAGCCCAGGACCCTGTGGCTGGAGCCGCTCTGCTCTCACGGTGACAGGAGTGACGGGCAGTTCTGAGCACATGCGCCAGCTCTGCCTCCTCGGCCCACACACACACGTATGTGTGAGCTGCACCTTCCACCAGGCACACACAAGCCACTCTCCACCTAAATGTCTTCCCAAAAGGGAAGAACAGCTGAACTTTAAGGCAGCGAGAGCACTGTGAAAGCAAGTAAGCTGTCTTACACTATACTGTGAGTAGTAAAAGTCAAGACTGCAGTCATAAGACCAATGACTTTTGGGGTTGGCTTTTTGGTTTTTGTTTTTGAGTCTTGCTATGCAGTTCAGGCTGGCCTTGAACTTACTATGTGGCCTAGGCTGTTCTCAAACTTGCAGAGATTCTCCTGCCTCTGCCTCCTGAGTGCTGGGATTACAGGCATATGCCATCACACCCAGCAAGACCAATAACTTTGATCATTAAGGGACATCTTATTCAAATAAGATCATTTCTCACAGGATCCAAATACAATGACCCCCAGGAGGTTCTTCCAAAAACTTCAACCTTTGCTGCCCCTTCATGCTCTCTTCCAAGACACGTCAAGGTTCCCCGCATTTGACAAAGGCCGACACATTCATGCTAAAAAGCTGGCGTGAGGCCTTGTGTAACGCATCCTTTCTGGCCTTGCTTTGCTGAGCGAGGCCACACCTCAAAGGCCAAGCCCGCTCTTTGGGTCCTGTGGACTCCCACGCACCTCTCTGTCTCTGGGCCATCTTCTCTCTCAACTCACCTGTGACGGCATCAAAGAATTCTTCCTCCCCGTTCATCCTTCAGCAGCCCGGCTCTGTCGCTGCCCCAGTGCGTGGTCTCCCTACTGGATCATTGCATCTGAACTATTTCAGCAGCAGAAGCAATTTCAAACTATGATTTTTCTCTTGATAAAAATCCAGCAGACACTGGAGATGCAAGAGAAGAAACATTTTGGCATGCTTAGCTTCCAGGATAAACATGGCTTAAAACCATTTTTAAATTCCCACTTACCATTTTGAAATGGATCTTAATTACATCTAAGCAATGAAATAAAATGTGCAGTATTATAACACATGCAGGACTTGAAAGACTATAAAGGAGGAAGCGTTCCTAACGCACAGATGACTGAGGAGTAATAGAGCAATAAGTGACTTATTTTAAGGGTTGTATTTAAAAGTCACTATCTACAGTTGTGTAAGAAAACAATACAACATTAACTTGGGAAAAGACGTGTGAGCAGCTCAGAGGCTGATCAGTTTCAGGGAGGTGTGGACCGTCGTGAGCTCCCAGTCATCAGAACCAGGGAGTTATAGAGAAAAGGGAAATCACCTCAAAGTATTTTCTCACACTTGCCCAAAACCAATTTCGTGTGTGTGTGGCTGGGGATTAAGCCCAGAGCCTTGAGAGTGCTAGATAAGTGCTCTCTCGCTGAGCTACACCCCCAGGCCTGAAACCAATTTTTCAATTCCAGAGAATTAAGACTGCTATATAAGGGTAAACCGAAGTAAACTTAAATTTTCTCAAATTCATTTTAGCTCAATATTTTGAAACTCATACACATTAACTTCTCCCACAAGAGCAGCATCTTAGAAATAGCACGGCACTGAAGCAAAATGTCAACCGTGTCCCAAGAGGTTTCACTTTTTCTGAAAATCAGCAGCGTCCTCCTTTGCACCGCCACCTCCAGCTCTTGCTCCATTCTGACCGAGCCCGTGTGAGGGGCAAGGGTGGTCCGACTGAGGACTCCACCAGGTGCTCGGGGACCTGCGCCCCACCACGAGGCCCAGCCCTCCACCTCCAGCTCTTGCTCCATTCTGACCGAGCCCGTGTGAGGGGCAAGGGTGGTCCGACTGAGGACTCCACCAGGTGCTCGGGGACCTGCGCCCCACCACGAGGCCCAGCCCTGGGGCTCTGTGCCCGGAAGTGAAGGTAAATTAGATTAGTTGCAAGCTTCTAATCATCAGCATCTGGGCACTAAGCTCCTCCATTCCTCTCACCTCTGCAGACTTGCAGTTCTTACTTCCCTCTCCCCAGCCTCCCCAAGCAGCAGCAGAACTGCGCACCTGACCAGCTACGGGGCACCTGTACCAAGAGCGCCACTCGCTGCTGCCCAGTCTGCATCCTCCACAAAGCAGGGAACGGCCCCTGGCTTCCGATTCCTCTCTAACACCGCACAGCTCATCTACAGCGACGCAAAATGTGCTCTGGCCCTCCCTGGAGGAGACAGCTACAGCCAGTAGGTCTGTCCTGCCCCGCAGCTGGTGAGGAGCTGTGTAGCACACTGAGGTGCTGCGTCTGAGTGTCTGTCCTTCCCCACTGCATCCGGGAAGGTGCTGGGAGGTGGCCTCTGACGGACCACTGGCCTGAGAGGGTCCCGGCCTCACAAAATGTTACTAGGAAGTGAGCCTACCAGAGGGTGAACTGTGCACTGCCCTCGAGCTCTGTCTGCTCCGCCGCTCCACCTCCCTTGCTCTACTTTCTGCCACCTCCCACCAAGGAACAATGAAGTAGGAAAGATCTCCACAGAGCCAGCACTGTGAGTCAGTGAGTTTCTGTCTGTTATAAACTGCCCAATCTGTGCTAATGTCATAACAGCACAAAACAGACGAAGAAATGAGGCCAAGTCAAAAGCTCCCACTGCAAAGATGACACAACCTTGGCACCAAGGAACTACAAGCAACTGAAACACAGGAAACACACTGAGCCCCGAGTTCATAAAGCTAATAAAAAGAAGCTAACTAGTCACCATTGTGATGCCAGTATGCCAACACGTTTATTCTGCAAACTGGGAAAGAGGACATGTCCTGCCTGTATCCTGGCTTTCCTATGCACCATCCACCCTACTGTGTCAGCAAAATGAGATAAGAGGACTGCACCTTTTAGAAAAATGCCAGGGGAGTGATGGAGAAGGACAGCACCCAAATATCACCACTACACACACGGGCGTCGCTGCTCCCAGGCACCATCACAGCAGCTGCCAAACTGCCCATCACTTGGCACTACCAACCAGCACTGCCTCGGCAGAAACCAAGCCCAAACCTCAGCCAGCCGCGGGCGTTGCCACCAACTTAGGAGCTCACAGAACAGGGTCTTCCTAAACACACTGTGGGAATACAAGCAGCAACATCCGGGCTCCGGAGCCATTCTCTACCACATAAATCCCAAAAGGGGGAGGGGTACGAGGAAAAGTCATGACTGAGCAGTGGTTTCTCTGGTGTGTATGTGTCACAGTAAACTACATGCTGAAGCACGTTAGGCCACACTGCGGGGACACCGGAGGTAGAGGGTCCTTTCCTTATCTTGAGTCTACACTTTAAGCATGTACAACTTAATTTTTTAAATTTTTTTTTTGTTTTGTTTTGTTTTTGTTTTTGTTTTTTGCAACAGGATCTCACTAAGCTACTAAGTTGCCCAGGCTAGGCATGAAACTTGGATCCTCCTGCCTCAGCCTCCCAGACTGCTAGGGTTCTAGGTGTGGGTCACTACACCCAGCTCAGACTAAACATCTGATGGCATGAGGATCAATGGTTTCTAAGGTTTCATAGCAGGTCTTTTTTAGGAGGCCTCATCTTCTAGAGCTACACACTGACATATATATATATGGACATCCAAGATTCTCTTCAAAATAACTGGGGTGGGGTTCGTGGGATGGATGGGCCTGAGCTGGGGACTGTGCGGCTGCAGACGCACACAGGCACCTGTGTATTAGTCTGCCTACTTTGCAATACTATAAAATCTCCCATGATAAAAAGTACTTTAAAAGCCACCTTCTTTTCTCTTTTTATATGCCTCCTGACCTATAACAAACATCCTAATGTTAAAGGTAAGTCAATCAAACTTCGCAGAAAATCTTTGAGATGAGGGTGTGAGGTATGAGGTAAGCTGCACTAAAGACACAAGCTCAGCTGACTCGGGAACACTGCTGTCACCTGTGGCTGCATTCCTACCGGGTGGCCCGTGAAGGCCGACCATGACCAAGGTCCTTCCAAGGCAGCCTCACGCAGGACCACAAGAGCCTCAGTTGACTCCAACACGGCCCCAGGTCATGCCTGGACACGCACTGTCTGCAGGCACACATTCCATACCTTCCTCACTAAGGCCCCCACAGGACCGCTAAACTACTCAACTGCTGCAGGCTGCCAAAGAAAACCTTGTGGGCTGGGGATTTAGCTCACAGCGCCTGCCTGGCAAGTGCAAGGTTGTGAGTTCGATCCCTGGTACTGGAAAAAAACAAAAACAAAAAAAAACAAAGAAAACCTTGCATTCACTCTCAACAGACCAACAGCCCACAAGGAGCAAGTCCTCAGCAGAAACATGGTGTCCTGTCTCATGACCCTGGCCATGGCGCACTGAGGGAGCCTCCTTGTGGGCAGCCCCTACGGAGTGACCTGGACTCTGCAAGAGCACAGAGCTGCTCCCACCCAGACACTCGGCCCCAGCACTCCAGGGGTCTTCAGTCGTGACAGTCAGCTTTTCAGCACTGTGACAAAACACCTGAGGAAAACAACTGTAAGGAGGAGAGGTTTACTGTGGCGCATGGTTTCTGAGGCTCTGTGGTCCACTGGCTCCTTTCCTTCAGGCCTGTGTGAGGGCCTGGTGGCAGAGAGCCACTCACCTCAGGGCATCCGGGAAGCAGAGAGAGAGTAAGGGGTCGGGGACAAGACACAACCTTCAAAGACACCCCACTGCCTACTTCCTCCGACTGGCCCCACCCGGCCACTAAGCTATCAATTCATCAGCTGATGAGGTTAGCCTCTTCATCCATTCACCTCCCTCGGTCCCACCTCTGAATACTGCTGCACTGGGAATCAAGTTCTCTCAATACATGAGTCCTACGGGGATGCTCCACATTTAAACAACATCAGTCCTTCCACATGTCTGCCCACCCCAGGACTTCTCAGAGGCTGGGTCTAATACACAGGTCTTGGCTGCCAGGAAGCCCACAGGCTCTGAATCTCTGATCCCAGGCCCCCACCCCCAGAATACCACAGTTTGGAGCTGCGCATAGGAAGCCTTCAGATTTTAGACATTTGCACTAAAGGAAGCAAAGTCAAGTTCTGTAACCTGCACTCTGCTAAAGCTGAGGGTGCCATCGAAGATCTGGTACAGGCAGAACCATCATTTCCTAGGCATGCATAATGTGCAGCTATTTTGTTCTCAGAAACAGCACAGGGAGACAGAGCCTCAGAAAAGAACTGTGGGCTTTTTGTTTTTCTTTAATCAGCATCTCCCTTTCCTAACTCCAAAGGGAAAAAATCCAGGAAGTTAGCTAAGAATGGCATCTCTCGCCATAATGCCCTTCTGTCCTCCATGGACAACTCTAGGTCAGAGGACTAGGCACACCCTCCTGTCATATGGCTCCCAAGCACCCCACCGCTGTAAGCCCTACACACTCAGAACACCCTCCCCTCCCTTCTTTCCATCACCTACAAAATGCCCACCCCTTGAAATGAAAAAAAATTTCCACTGTGCCATCTTGAAGATGCCCCCTCTCTGCAATCCCTGTCCCACCAGAATCTAGCCCGATCAGGCCCCAAATGCCCTGTCACCTCTATGAATACTCATACTCTAGTCTTACAAATGCATCTTTATGTTATTCTTAGAAAAACTTATCTAATAGTTTGGGCAATGAGTGACTAACAGCTGGAGACTGGGGTGATCTCCACCCTAACTGCACTCAAAAGTCTAATTGTGTGAAACCTGTCATCTACCAAAACTAGAGAAACCAGCATGGAGGTACATGTCTATAATCCCAGGTACGTGGGATGAGGCAGGAGAATCACAAGTTTGAGGCCAGCCTGAGGTCTTTTTTTTTTTTTTGTCTTTTTGAGACATGGTCTCACTTTGCAGCCAAGGCTGGTCTCGAACTCAAAATGATCCTCCTGCCTCAGCTTTCCAAGTGCTGGGATTACAGAAGCACAACCCA